CATTGAGAGAGGAAGACATAGTATCTTCATTAAAACAAACTAGGGCATTCTACCCATGTTCCCAGTAAAATTTCTCTCCCCATCTCCCAGATAATTGGTAGATTCCTTTACCTTTCAAAAGACTCCTCCGCTACTGCTGTCCTCCTGCATAACCAGGTTCCACAGGCTGTTCTGTGCCTTACGCACAACACTTGCGTGATGAAAAGGACAGAAAATCTGCTCCCTCCTCCATCCTTGAAATTACACTTGGGCCACTTCACTCCCTGTTTCTCTCCTCTTGAGAGAGGCAGACCTAGGCCCCTAGATTATTATTATCCTAAGATAATCTGAAACTCAAGGTTCTGTTTCGAGGTTCCTCTCCATCAGCATCAGCAGAGAAGGTTTTTCAAGCCTCTCTAATATCATCCTTCCACCTAGCAGGACTAGTTTGTTTTCTAAGACTGAGTTTTCAGGGGCTGCTTCAGAGGCTTTCATATTTAAAATTAAATGGAACCAACAGTTCTAATATGGAAAACACTGCTGTCTTGGTGCAGTCGTGTTCATTTAGCATAGAATCATTCAGGTTGGAAGAGACCTTTTGAGATCACCAAGTCCAACCATCAACCCTACCCTACCAAGTACACGCCTAAACCATATCTCCAAGCACCACATCTAAATGACCTTTAAACACGTTAAGCGATGGTGACTCAACCACCTCCCTGGGCAGCCTATTCCAGTGTTTGACACGGTTTATTGCCCACGCTGTGTACATTAGTATAGATGCACTTCAGCTGAGCTGAAAATCCTGCCTCCGTTTTGAGAGGAGAAGCCCTAATTCCTACCTGGCCCTTCTCAGCTGCTTCCACGGTTACTAACTTATCAACAAGCCTAGCATTTTTGCTGCTGCATGGGTTGCCATCCCCCACCTCAACTGAGATGTCAGACTAAAAGAACACACCAGCGCACCGACATGCCGCATCCAGGCTCCTCTCTGGCAAGCCTGGTTTCATCCCCATCCCCCTTCGAAGCTGGTTTAAAGCTCTTCCTATAAGCCCCGCTAATTCTTGTCCCAAGATCCCTTTCCCCCTTTAGACAAGTTAACCCCATCTGTGGCTAGCAGGCCAGGTGTCTTACAGACCAACCGATCGTCAAAGAACCCAAAGCTCTACCAGTGACACCAGGCTCAAAGCCAAGAATTCATCTGATGGCTGCTCTTCTGTCAAAACCCTCATCACACCCTGCAATTGGTGGGATAGAGGAGAACATTACTTTGCGCTCCTGATCCCTTAACCAGATGACCCAGGGCCCTGACGTGTCTCTTCATTTCCCGCAGACTTCTTGATTTCAGTTCCTCTCTATCTACTTGAATAATTAATAATGGGTAATAACCCGAGGGATGAACCAGGGTAGGAAGTTTTCTTTTTAATTCCTTGACCCTGGCCCTGGGGAGGCAGCAGACCTCCCTAAGGAGTGGGTCCAGTCTGCAAATAGGGCCTTCCATTCCCTTCAAAAGCGAGTCCCCTATGACAAGTACACGCCTTTTATTCTTTACTGAGGCTGTTCTGACACAGGGCTCAGTCTGACTTGCTACCAGTGACACCACCAAGTTCGGTGAACCTTCATCCTCATTGGTGTTTGATTCTCCCTGCAGAGCAGCGTATCTATTTTGCAAAGGCACCTGGGGAGGTGCGGTAGCTACTGGGGTGCCACACCTGCCACAAACTTGTCACCACTGATCCCCATCCTCTGAGTCATCCCATTCAGCAAGATGGAGAGAGGATAGGGAGCCCTCCGTGTCCTTAGCTCTGTGTGCCTGCTGGGACTGTTTCAACGAAGGTAGAGCCTGACTCCACCAGTCTGTCTCCCTCTCACACTCCCTTACAGCCCTCAGCCTTTCAACCTCCTCTTTCAGCTTCATACACCAGAGCAGCCAAAGCGTAACTGATGCTTTTACTTAAGATGTGCACCTATTTCCACTTCTTTTCTCCTTTTGTAGTAAACATAATATAGATAAGCCAATTAAAGAAGAGGAACTTCTCTTTACCACTCCTTTACAAATCAATGTAAAATAAACCAGGTGGGCTGGGCAGTTCAGTCACCCCTGCTCTAATTTCCACAGTGGAAACAGAAAATCTGCTTGCAGTGGGTGAGCACAGTGGGTGCACAGGGTGGAGGCTGTAAGGTGATGATAGAACCTGCCAGGCTTCCACACTTTTTCCTTTAAATTAGGTTGACCACAAAAGGCAGAAATTTTGTGTAATTTACAGTATTGTTCAGGGCATTGTATAAATAACTTATTTTATATTAGGTTACTTTTTCAGTAACAGAATTTGCAATTTCTTACTCAGTTACTAACTCCAAATCTGTGTCCTCCACTTCGTTTTGCATTAGGGCTAGACAGTCCCTCTACTTCAGGCCAAACTAGACATAACGCTGTCTTCCATCCAAGTCCAGAAACAGAAGGCCCCTGGAATGCCCACCTCTTGTAACACTGTCCCTTCCTCTTACTTTTTCCCAAACAAAGTGTATGTGAAGTACAACTGTTGCTCTCAAACAATGGTATTCACTCTGGCCACAAGTCTTCCAGCCTCTTGCAAGGCCTCAGAACGATGACTTGTAAGTGAAGAGATCAACTGGACAAGGCTTCCGAAACAAAAACTGTTGTAGCAGGAGCCAAGTGGCACATGGCCTTGGTGACTTACCTCTTGCAACAATTCTTTCCTTTAACTTAAGGAGAGAACTTCACACACCCCCAGTTCCCTGACACACTAATCAGGAAGAATGCACAATGAAGAGGGATTTCACCCTCCCATTTTAACTGAAGGGGTCTTTTTCTTTTTAAATAACTGGAAAATTTTGTAATAACTTTCATAAGCACCCTTTTCAGTTTTCTTTGTTATTATTCTTCTACTCAAAACTACACGAAAATGGCAGCAAACAAGAAATCAAAATTATGTTCTCAAATATAAGTAGAAAAAAATCATATTATTTGAGCCAGATAAGGATCTTATTCCATCATATTATCACCGCATAGAAGAGCCTCTCTTAATTTGAACTTGGAGGATTTTTTTTACTTTGTTCTTACAAAGTTCTCAGATAGCCCATGCCAAACACATACCTCAAACTGCATAGTTTAGGAGGTCTAGCATACAAAATTTGATCAATTATTTCCCTCCAACAGGTTAAATTAAAATCCAGTTCTGAAAAGCCCCCAGACCAAGGGGATCAGGGACTGAAACCCCAAATCAGGACACTGACATTTAAGACTGCCTTTACCATGGATGTATTAATTTAATACATTGTAGAGTCCTAAGAGATGATATTTTTAATATAAACTTATTTTCCAAATAATTTAGAGGAATACAGTTTCAAGTAATTCTTCAAAGGCTTGCCTTAAGTTACCCTAACAAAATGTAGCTTTTGAAAGCTGACATAAAAGAAGACATTAGTGTGATTGAGAGTATAGAGTACTAGTAACCGTAAATGAACTTAAATAGTTTAACAGTTCTAGAATTGTCTTAAGTTTACACAGATATCTTAACATAACCTACAATGTTTACCATGAATTTTAACAGCACATAAGCATCACAATGTGTTAGGTATTGTTTTCTAAACCACAATTTCACTGGTCCCAGGTATTTTAAAATAATAGGACTAAGGCAGCAGCTATAATACATAAACAATTCTTTAAGAAATATGCTTAATGGTATTACCGCTTAGAACTGTGGAAATATAACAAAATACAAGTCACATTTACAGCATAAGGCCCTTTGGTTTCTTAAGCAGCAAATGAAAGAACAATTTCTTCAGTGAAAAGCTTTGAAAAATAAAGCATGTAGGCTTTCCATAAAAAAAGGTAACTAGCTCTTTCCTTCTCAAAATAGCCAGCTGTAGTCTTCAAAATATTATGTAAGAAAGCTCCTGAAATTCCTAGGAAAGAAAAAGTTAAAACCCAACAGTAGTATCTGGCAGAGCAGAGATTCTATTATGGGCAAGCTGAACATACACCTTCTGGGAAGTAGAGGAAACTACTGTTTGGTTTTCTGGAGAGCTTTATTAAATTTGCAGTAATACAATAAAAAGGATCTGAAATACCTGTGTATTTACCATATATCCTAGAGCTTACAAATCTGTTTTTGAGAACTTGCTTCATAATCCATTTATCCTTCGTAAGGACTTCAATTAGAACGAAATTAAAATGAAACAGTTTATTCTAGTCAAGGCAATTTACGGCAGTCTGCTTTTTCACACAACCACGTGCAACTTGTACGAGGCGATCCTTTTCCATCTTCTCAGTGGAGCCAAAAACTACGAAGTAATTCAAGATATTTCTGTGTAACTAAACGGTGTGTGTTTAGTTACACAGAACTGCTTAGTTACACAGAACTGCTTAGTTACAGAGTTGCGGCAGTCAACACGTGAATTTTACAGACAACATTCTTTTTAGGAGGTTCCATAACTACTCATATTCTTTTTTTCACACCAGTTAGAAGCAGTATCAAATTAGCCAAAACACTGGAATATATAATAAATGTGATCAAGTCACCACAAGTATTTTAAAATCCTGCTTAAGTGGTATGTTCCTTTTGCTATGGAGCTGGTAAGAAGGATCTGGCATTATAAACCAGCTGTAAACCAGCATGACCATTGGGAGCAGTGTTCTTACTCTGTCACAAACTTGCACAAAATTTTAAAACAACTTCTTACGCCTCCTGAATCTTGTTGTAGTTTATCACCACATTAATTTTAATTATCTTATAAGTGAAGAAATACAAAGTATTTTCTCAGCCTCTTACACAGTTACCGATTAGAGACCTTTCTATGTAACATGACTAACAAAACTTTTTGAGGCAGCGTAAGAATTTACTTTTTGCAAAGTGTCATATGGCAAAATGAAAGTTTGTGACAAATTCGGGCAACATAAATCATCCATAAGAATTCAGCAGACACTGAAAGGACTGGGCTGCAGGACTGCGTTCACTAGCGTTATTACCCCCTAAACATTGTTGTTGAACTTAAGAAACAAAATTTCATAGGAAATTTCATAGGAATTGATTGAGTACACTTCTGAGTAATTTTGAAATACTTAGCTGCTTCTTTTTCAGTTGAAAATATGCATCCTACCTTCAGTGCTCTGATGTTCGGTAAAGAGACAGGAAACCTTTAGCACGTAAGATGACTTTGCACTTAGGCCATTCCACTGCAGTACCAGGTGAATGCAAAGTCAAGTCTTTTTTTCCAGTGCAAAAGCCTTTACTTTGCTGGGTTGAAAGTTTCCCTAAGTCATGCTTTTACTAATCAAAAACCCGATGTTAATCAGCTTACCCATGATCCAAATTTCGTCGATCTTTGAAAGAAGAAAACATTTTACCCAAAAAGATCTTTTAAGTCATTACTAGCTGAGCTGCTGTTTGTCATTGTGTTTGCCGGTTGTGCAAAGTTCTGAGGAGCAAAGAAAGGATTACCCTGTATACCAAAGCCAGGCTGTCCTATCATGTTCATCTGAGGTCCCAAGACTGAGCTGCTCGCACCTGGGGACCCTTGTGGGGGTACAAACTGATTAACCCACTGGCTTGACTTCTGTTGAGCCAACTGTTTCATACTAACTTTGGGTTTTTGAGGACCAAAAAGATTATCTAAAGCAGACATATCTGGGGGTCTGCTTTGTTGTGTCAGTGGAGAGATGGCAGACGCAGCATTCATAGGACTGTAATTTGGCATACTGGCCGTTGGTACAATGTTCATCTTGGTTGTTCCCGTTGCACTTGGACCACTGAAGAAATTCTGAGTGGTGGGACCAGCTCCCATACTGAATCCAGCAGTCTGAAAACCCATGTTAGTATTCAGTCCATTTGTTATATTTCTCTTTGTGTTGTCAATAGGTGATGAAAATCCCATTCCAACACCCATAGAAGGGCCAGAAGAGAAGCTGTTTGAAGATGCAACTTTAGCTTTGTTGATAGAATGGCTAGTCAAAGATGACATATTATCTATCAAGGTATCTGTCAAGTCTTTTGTCTGCAAAATATGTAAAATGCAGTTAAATGCTTTTCCTGTACAAACGCTTTAGCAACAGTCTTTACCACTGCTCCTGCAGAAGTGGCATTCATTTTTCAGAAATTAGAATTTACTGCATGAATTGGGCATGCAATGTAATTACACGCAAAAGCAATTATGTTATTTTCATTCTTTGCTACTTAGGATTAATAGTTATGCAGCTTTCATCTGACAACTAAGTACATGAAGTACTACTGTGACATTTGCTTACATGTCCCCATTCCTGCCCCCAAGCCCTTTATATATTTAGTTAACAAAATCTTCACTGCAAAACCTTTTCTAATATGTGCCTCTTCCTTATCTAGAACAGTGGCCTTCCAATAATAATTACTCCTTTGGAAACTCCTGCAATTTAAAAAGTGGGAAATATTGCTAGTGATGCAAATGGAAGGCAGATTATTTTTCTCAGCTGTGCCATGGTACTACCAGTACTACCACTGAAAACAAAGGTGACTCCCAGGAGAAAAAAAGAGCTAATGCACACAGCACCTGAAAGGGAAAAGCATCACAGCTCCAACACAAACACTGCAGTAGCTTGTTCTTTCTCACCTGCTTCACTGGAGGTGTTATTGCAGTTGCTTGTGGCTTAAGAGGTTGCTGGCTTTTCAGTTTCTGTGCCTGTTCTTGTTCTTTAGCTAACTTTTGCTTCTCTTCCAGTGTAAGTGATGCCTCCAAAAGGGAAAGTATTGACATTAAGTTGCATAGAATGGTTACTCTTACATCGATATTTTTCTTTTATAAATAGCACTGTCATTTCAATAATACAAAAGAGAAAGTAGATAAGCACAAAATCTACTATAGTATTTATCGTATTGCTAAAAAGCACTCAAAGCAAATAAATACAGTGTTAAAAGTAGCATAATTTTAGCTTTGTCTTCTTACTGTTGGGCATAAGAATAAGTGTTTTTCACAATTTTCGGGTTTGTTTTTATATGGTTACCAGCTGGCACTTGATACAGAACTGCAACTGGAGCATGGAGTTGGAAAGGGATTTTTATTTTAAGATTGCTTAAGAGGCTTTTCAGGATTTTAACTCTACTTTTGTTAATGCTGAAGGATAAAATCATAAAATCATTCCCCCTCAGTCTAAAATTAGTGAGAGGGTTCAGGTAACTAGAAATGGAAATGAGAAAATATATAGATTCTGAGGAGCCATAATTAATAGCATGAAAATAATTTCACAATATTTATGCTCATGTTTAATACTCTCTGTCATGTCATGCTTTTTATTTGCTTCTTGTATTTATCCCCATATTGACTGTTCATTTTCACTTAACTTTGAGTTGTACAGTAAATGTTAGTCTCTGCTGCTACATAAAATTGTGCATTTTATCTTCATCTCTGTTTGTAATTTTATCATAAAGTTGCCTTTTTTGATTTTCCTATAAATCTACTGCTGAAGTTTCAGTTTCATTGAAATATAATTAAGGAGGAAAAAAAATGACCAAAAATTTATAATCCTAATTGCTGCCTAGTTTGTACAAAGTTATTTTCAAGGAAAGGCTTTCACAGAAATTCAAGGATATGATTTGAACATTTTTCAGTGGACGTTCACATGTGACTATGTATGGTGCTGTGCTACATAAAACAAGTCAGTTTTTCTTTTAAAGCTTTAAATACCATAAATATTTACATATACTCTTCTTACGCAACCCTATCAGCCTTGGATTAGACAGGCGGATGTAACAGAATTCCAGAACAAAGTAAAACACACCTTTTTCTGTTTTGATGACATCTCATTCTCTTTACTATCAGATCCACTAGTTAGAAGGTCAGTTCCACTAGTATTAAATACCTTGTCAATCTGTTAAGTTCAAAGGAAAAAAAATTAGTTATTTGAAAGGTACTTTAAGGTAACATTAATATTGACCAAGTCATTTTAAAATTCTAATTTCTGTATGTAAGGATCGCAATAAAACGTTGTCGCTTACCTGATTACTTGTACTACTAGATCTTGCCTCTTCAGACACACTCATTTGGTTAGCTATATCCAAAGATCTATATAGTGCAAAGTATACATATTACAAAAAGACGGCCTTACAGTCACATCCACAATACTAATTCAGCAACATAGATTATTATTCTGCATTTAAATAATATCAAAAAATTGCATTATGAGAGCACTGCCATTTTTATAGAATGCCTGCAGGAGACTGGAAAATGTTAATGTTCTAAATTGTAAAAGTTTCCTAATGATCATTTCACACGGTCTTAGTTCCTCCTTTTGAACGGGGTGACACAGACTTTGGGTAGTCCCTGTTAATTTGACTCAGAAATCTCACCTTGTATCAGACTCCATAAAACAGCTCTAAATATCTTCCACTATCAGTGTTTCCTAAGAGGCTGCAATGTTTATGTTTCTGCAGTATGGTCAATGTTCTCAACAACTACAGAAAAGCAAGTTAGCTTATAGAAGCAAGACATAAACTGTACTAGTGGAGCTCAGTATGAACTCTTACATTTAATGAATTAATTAAAAAATATTGGCTTAAAATAATACACTCTGAACTGTATAAAAGTGAAGGATTTTACTCTATAAAAAAACCCACTGACATGACAATATTATTGTCGTTCTAGTAGTAACAAATCTTTGCTGACAACTCTGCTCAGCTGAGGTAATTCTCAACTACTGAAGTAAGAGTTACCTAGATTTTTTATTGCTATCCCTAGAGTTTTCTCACATTTGCTAAAAAATTAACTGAAATCTCTGCTCACTTGTTCCTTCTCTTATACACATATAAATAAACACTTACTTCTGTTGCTCTTGCATGACATGAAGTTGCTCAAGTTTTGTTTTATGCTCTGCCTCCAATCTATTAAGCATATCTTTTATAACACAAATAAAAGAATTAAACTGTAAAAGAAATATACGAGAAGTTTGGATTTTGCAGTGATGGAACTCAGACATGCATAACTTAAAGGGTAGTATCTCAGAAAACTTACAATACATAATATCAGATAAACTGCAGATTTTTAAATCATTAAATCCACCTTCACTATCTTCCATTAGATACAACTACAAGCAGAGTGTATACTGAAACAGTGAAAAGATGTATTACTAAAAAAAAAAAAAAAAAAAAA